GGATCAAAAAGGAGGCGCTCAGGAAGAAGGAGATGGACGAGCGGCGCATCCAGAAGCTGAAGAAGAGGGCCGAGAAACCAAAGGCGGAGTTCAATGATATTGACTTCGAGAGACAAAGAGCCGAAATCCCCGATATTGTGGACGAAGCGCTTCAATACGGACTCCAATTGCGCCAAAAGCAAAGTACCTGTAGTTCGGCGGCCGGTAGTAGTGGTGAGCAATCGGTGGCACAAAAACGCAAATCCGATCATAAGATGGCGGCCACGAAGAAGAAGAAGCTCTCGCTTTGGATGGGAGTCGACGGCATTGATGTTGAAGACAGCGATGAGGAGCCCGAAAGCGACGGACCCGTTGTTTACGGCGATAGTTCTAAACCATCGACAGTCACATCGAGTAGTGCCGCGTCGTCTGCGGCCGAAGTCGAAGAGTCGAGTGAGTCGTCGAGTGGTTCCGAAGAAGCGAAACAAAGTGTTGTCGAGTGTTCGACTGATTTGAATCAATTAAATGACGATAAAAGTGATGATAAGCCCAACATTGATGAGATGGTGTCATCAGAAGTGGTATCAGAGACTGAACAGAGAGTTGTTAACGATTCCAACGAACCTAAGGCTCCAAAAGAGCCAGAAGTAGTTTACGAGCCGTTGGATCTGATGGCCTACGAAAGTGTGGACCAATTGGAAGCGCTGGGTTTGGATCGACTGAAGTACTCGTTGACGGCGTTGGGGCTGAAGTGCGGCGGAAGTCTGGCCGAGAGGGCCAACCGATTGTTCTCCGTTCGAGGCCTTCAAACTAAAGACATCCCAAAGAAACTCTTCGCCGTAAACAAGAAAAAATGATTTCTATATTATATTTTAAATGTATTCTTTAATTACTTTGTCATTAATTTATAAATAAATTCATAATAAAAATTCAGTGAAATTCAAATAAATAGCAAATAATTAATTTTTTAAAATAAACAAAATTGTAAAACTTTTAAATATACAGTAGATATTAAAAGTGTAAACTCAGACTATTTATACCAAAATTTATGGTCATTTAATCGGCCGATGATATTGAATATAAGGGTCGGGAAAAATACAATTAATCACATTTCATGAGAAGCTATTTCTATTATGCGATTGTTTCATATGTTTGTTAACATTGGCGCTGTTGGCCGCTCTGTACTGACAGCCGGGCCAATGACAGGCATAGGGTTTGAGATTGTTGTGCACATTCTGATGCTCTTTCAACAGCTTCTGCATGCGAAACCTGCGGCCACAGTCGGGCCACTCGCACACAAACGGCTTCTCACCCGTGTGTTGCAGTTTGTGGGCCGTAATGTGTTTCCCTTCCCACTCACAACCGGGCCATTCGCAGCGTGTTTTGTGCGACGAAACCTGCGGCCACAGTCGGGCCACTCGCACACAAACGGCTTCTCACCCGTGTGTTGCAGTTTGTGGGCCGTAATGTGTTTCCCTTCCCACTCACAACCGGGCCATTCGCAGCGTGTTTTGTGCGGCACAAACGGCGCCCGATTGTGGGCATCGGTCTGGTGTTTGCGGCGAAAAAATTTGGAGAAAAACATTTGTTCGCAACCGTCGACACCGCACCGGTAGGTGGGCTCCGACCGGTGCGACCGCGAGTGCTCTTCCAGTCCCTCATAGGACTTGTATGTCTTGTCGCAGCCGACGAACGAACACTTGTACTCACGGCTCGTCTCGTGTGTCTTCATGTGTCGCAAGAGGTAGAGATTATTCTTGGCTTCGTATCGGCAGTCCTGGTGTTGGCATTTGTATGGCTTGTCGCCCGAGTGTCCGGTTGAGTGCACTTCGAGCGCGTATTTAGTTTTATAGATTTTGTGGCACCCGTTGTGGTCGCACGCGAACCGCCGCTCGCCATGAAATGAGTACAAATGCAACCGAAACTTGTTGTCCGTATCGATAATCTTATGGCATTCGCCGATCGGACACCGGAATGAATAGATGGTTAAATCAAAATATTTCTCCCGCTCTGTCTTATGGGCGCCCAAGAACTGAGCCATTGTCTGCTTCGGATCCTTTGTCACCGGTTCTCGTTTCTTAGGGCTCCGGCGCTTCTTCTTTGGTTCTTTAAGTAGACTTTCATTATCTGAGACTTCATTACTTTCACCTCCGATGGCGTTATCGGTGTTGTTGTTAACCACTGTTTTCTTCGGCGTTTTGGTCTCTCGTTTTCTTTTCTCTTGTTTAGCAACGGTTTGACTCTTCGGCGGGATATCGCTTCCAACCATACGATTATCATCTAAATTAAAACAATATTTAAGACTTTGCCTAACATTACAACAATTCTATACCTAAATCAGAAATCGTTTGCCAAAGTAGTTGACCGTCGAGTGCGACCGAAGACGACAATTGACCAGCGCTTGAATCGGTGTCCGGAGGTAGAGCTGAAGATGACTGTATCGGCGATTGGGAACCCATTTGAACGATAACAGAGCCGCCGGTCGCGAGTGTCCGCCGAGTGAAGCGATACTTGCGTTCAATAGACGTCAACCGGTTGTGAACCGACTCCTGATGTTTGCGGCGAAAGAACTTCGAGAAAAACATCTCTTCGCAGCCGTCGAGACGGCACCGGAAGGAGGGATCCGCGCGATGGCAGCGCGAGTGCTCGTCCAGACCCGACCACGACTTGTAAACCTTTCCGCACCCGTCGGCCGCACACCTGTACTCCCTGTCCGTCGAGTGTGTCTTCATGTGTCCCGACAGATATGCGGCGCATTTGGTCTCGTATTGGCAGCCATTGTAATGGCATTTGAATTGTTTGTCACTCCTGTGTGTGAACTGATGAGTCATTAACGCAAACTTTGTCTTATAGTCTTTATCGCATCCAAAGTGATAGCATTTGAAACGTCTTCCGCTGTGAACCGACAGCAAGTGATGCCTGAATTGGTTATCAGTTTCCAGACTCTTGTGGCACTCATTGATGGGACAAACGTATGAATTGGTGGACACGTCATAGCATTTCTCTCTCGAGGTTTTATCCAAAGCGCATCCAGACATCGATGGCCTCAATGGCCGCCACATTAATGGCTGTGTTTTATTGGTCTGTATTTTATATGATTTACGACCAGTTGTTTGCTTCGCCCGCAGAGGAGATCCGGCGGCCATTTCATAGCCAATACCATTGACAGGCATTTTCTGGTCAAGCATTTGGTCCAATGTTTGAGATAATGTCCGGAAGTGTTGATTGTCTTCTGAATCGATAAGTGATTCATATTTTGAGTGAATTTTAATTAAATGTGTTTTCAATTCATTTAAACATTTGTTTCCAAACAATAACTCATTTAAAAGTCGTTTGTTTTCAACCATTAATTCATCCA